GTTTTTCATTTTTAGTTCTGTTTATGTAATAAATCATATTTCTTAATTTGTTTACACTGAACCAATTTTGCATCCCAAGGATAAAACCTACTTGAACACAGTAGATTTGCTTTTTGATGTACTGCTGGATTTGATTTGCTAGTATTTTGTTGAGTGTTTTTGTGTCTATGTTCATCAGGGATTGATACGGTTTGGCTGTGCTCCCACCCAAATCTCAACTTGAATTGCATCTCCCAGAATTTTCACGTGTTGTGGGAGGGACCTAGTGGGAGGTAATTGAATCACGGGGACTGGTCTTTCCCATGCTATTCTTGTGATAGTGAATAAGTCTCATGAGATCTGATGTGTTTATCAGGGGTTTCCACTTTTGCTTCTTCCTCATTCTCTCTTGCCACCACCATGTAAGAAGTGCCTTTCGTCCTCCACCATGACTGTGAAAACTTCCCCAGCCATGTGGAACTGTAAGTCTAATTAAACTTCTTTTTGTTCCCAGTTTCAGGTATGTCTTTATCAGCAGCATGAAAACAAACTAATACATGGATATCGGTATGAAGTTTTCTTTTTTCATTGTGTCTCTGTCAAATTCTAGTATCAGAATAATGCTGGTCTCACAGAATGAGTTAGGGAGAAGATCCTCCTCAATTTTTTGAAATAATTTCATTAATCTTGGTACCAGGTAGAATTTGGCTGTGAAGCCATCTGGTCCAGAGCTTTTTCTGGTTGGTAGGTTTTTTAGTACCAATTCGATTTTGGAACTTGTTATTGATCTGTTTAGGATATCAGTTTCTTCCTGGTTCAATCTTGGAGGTTGTATGTTTCTAGGAATTTGTTCATCTCTTCTAGGTTTCTAGTTTGTGTGCATAGGGGATCATAAGAGTCTTGGAAATTTTTTTTTTGCATTTTTCTGGGGCTGTACACCTTTCTTTGGATACTGATTAGATTTTTGTTGTTGATATTTAGTTCTTCTCTAAGGACTCTTTTTCTTTTTTTTTTTTAATTTATTTATTATTATTATACTTTAAGTTGTAGGGTACATGTGCATAACGTGCAGGTTTGTTACATATGTATACTTGTGCCATGTTGGTGTGCTGCACCCATCAACTCATCATTTACATCAGGTATAACTCCCAATGCAATCCCTCCCCCTTCCCCCCTCCCCATGATAGGCCCCGGTGTGTGATGTTCCCCTTCCTGAGTCCAAGTTGATCTCATTGTTCAGTTCCCACCTATGAGTGAGAACATGCGGTGTTTGGTTTTCTGTTCTCTAAGGACTCTTTTTCTTTTTAACTACATAAAATATTCTTGTGCAAGCTCTTGATTTTCCTCTAATGCTTTGTGACTTTTGGCTATTTGGGTGTGTTTAGAAGTAAAGAACTAGCTTAATTAGTATGCTAGATACAGTATTTTTTCTATCATATGTCTCCTAAATGGGCCCCTCTCCTGAATAGGAGAAATAAATGTGAGTTTTGTAGATTTTAATTGCATCTGTCAGAGAGGTTCACTTCTGCATTTTGTACATGGGCAGGAAACAGGCAGGTAGCTGAGAAGCAAGTAAATTGCCTGGGTAATGAGACTGACTCTCAGGTGGGAATATTTAATATGCATCTTTCTGGATGTCCAGATCTTATTTTAATTTAATCTGGATTCCTTTTTATGATCTTTAATTATCTAAAGACTTTCCCTGTTTCCCTCTTAGACTTCAACATCTATACTAGGAGTCTTCTCTAAGATAATATTTCTAGTTATTTAGAAAATAGTTCATAGAATTCTATCTAGTGAGCAAATGCCTCTCCAGCTGCTCTGTATATGTCAGTGACAGAGAGGAGCTGGCTTACCTAGCTGATCTGGAAACAGTGCTTTAACCTTGAACTTGGATGATTGCCTCTAGCCCTCATTTACTGTGTGTATTTGTTAACCCCAGTGGGGTGTCCCTCAGACCTCTGTCGGAACTTCTCTTTGCAGCAGCCTTTACCTGTGGGTACTTGGAGTTGTGGATTTTTCTATGTTGGTTGTGCTCCCATTCAACCTCTTCTAATTTCTACTATTAAGAAATAGCGGCCGGGTGCGGTGGCTCAAGCCTGTAATCCCAGCACTTTGGGAAGCCGAGACGGGCAGATCACGAGGTCAGGAGATTGAGACCATCCTGGCTAACACAGTGAAACCCCGTCTCTGCTAAAAAATACAAAAAACTAGCCGGGCGAGGTGGTGGGCGCCTGTAGTCCCAGCTACTCGGGAGGCTGAGGCAGGAGAATGGCGTGAACCCGGGAGGCGGAGCTTGCAGTGAGCCGAGATCGCGCCACTGCACTCCAGCCTGGGCGACAGAGCGAGACTCCGTCTCAAAAAAAAAAAAAAAAAAAAAAAAAAAAAAAAAAAAAAAAAAAAAAAAAAGCTCACAATTTCAGATCCACTAATAATATCCATTTCAGATCCACTAATAATATTCATTTGTGTTTTTAGCACAAATGTTTATCACATATTTTAAAGAATCTTTAACATCATTTATGTGGGAATTTGGGAGGGATGGGAAGTAAATAGATGAGCTCAATGCTATCATTATTTATTAGAAGTTCCTCCACATCTGCAGCATTTTTATCTCCTTTCCTAACCCTAACCATTTCTTTCTAGCCCTGGGGTCCAAGATTCTTGTTTCACAGGCCTATCTTACCATGTTTAGTACAGCCTTGTAAGTCATCATAATACATGTGGCATGGTGTAAGATATTAGTGAGTTAAATAAAATACATATGGGAAGCTCCAAGAGAGTCAGATATGAATGATCTGTGGGCAAAAGGGTCAGTGTGACTAGGTGGAGTCATGGATGGGCACAGAGGAGCCAACACAATAGTCTTCAGAGTAGGTAATTGAGCTCACTCTTGAAAGGAAAGAAGGGATTCAGGAAGGAGATGACCCCATGCAGAGAGGACAGAATTATCTGGGCATAAGGTGTTAAAGTATTACACAGGATGGGAGCCCAGTGTGCAGCGGATGAGACAGGATGCAAAATCAGGAGCCAGATCCTGAAAGGCTTGTGTGTATCAAGCTAAACAATTTGGAATTTACCCTACAGGCAGAAGTGACCCATTGAAGGATTTTAAATGTGGACATAACGTGATGAATAAATGCTAACATTTAGTCAGCTCTTAGGATGCACCAGGCAGTGCTCAAAGTTCATCCAGGGGTTAAGTCATTTAATCATCATGATGACCTCATAAGGCCAATGTGTGGAATATCCTCACTTTCTACTGAAGATAATGACTCCCAAACATAAGTTTCCTGAGGTCAGATTCTTCATCCATTCACAGATGGGCCCTGGGTTTCTAGCTCTGGGCCAGCATGATGAATGTATGCGGAATGAATGAATGAATGAGGCTCACAGGTTACACACACAGGGAAGGACTGAGCTAGGACCTGAAGAGGGGTGGCCTTACCCCAAAGCCTACACATTTAACCACTATCATCGTTTCTACGTTAAAAAGGTAAAAAAGATAATTCTGGGTAGGTGAAGAGATTGGAATGTGATCTGACTGGCAGGAGACTAACAATAAAATTACATGCATTGGAGTGTAACTCAAAGTATAATCACTGAATATTGATTTGAAAAAGAGCATTGTGGAAAAAAGTAAATACTACATATTTACTTGTTTAATTTTTTGACTTTTTCCACTAGAATCTGCTCTCCATGAGGTCAAAGATTTGTCTACTTTGTTTATTGTTGTAATCTTCAGCACCTCAAAGAATTTCAGGCATAGGATGGTTGATCAATAAATATTTGTCAACTAAATGAATGATTATGTAAGTTTGAAAATATTGTATATTGGATCTTCCTCTTGGTGATTTATAACCTATATTAGCATATTAATGGCAATTAAATACTTTGATTTTTTTAACCTAGTTTTTAAAAATTCTATTTACCCTCATACCTTTTTATTCTTAGAATTAGTGTTTTTCTTATAATTATTGTATTAGAATTAGATATACTTTGAGGAACTTCTCTTCAGGAAGTTTCTATTCAGTATATTATTATATCAAGAAGTTATTTTAAATCCTGGAAAATATCTATATTATTCATAATTACAAGTAATTAATAATTAATAATGATATCCACTCATTATTAATAAAACAAAGAAACTGTTTTAGACAATGGCATACTCAAGTAAAGCAAGCAAAGTGTGTCCTGTTTGGATTAAGTCAAGTTAGCATCTGTAGGGCTGCATGTGGTGTTTAGAGATTCAGTTTCTTTTCTTTTTTTTTTTTTTTTATGAAGATGAGGTCTTGCTCTGTCACCCAGGCTGGAGTGCAATGGCGCATTCTCGGCTCACTGCAACCTATGCCTCCCGGGTTCAAGCCATTCTCCTGTCTCAGCTTCCTGAGTAGCTGGGATTAGAGGCGCTAGCCATCGTACCTGGCTAATTTTTGTATTTTTCATACAGATGGGGTTTCATCATGTTGGCCAGGCTGGTCTTGAACTCCTGACCTCAGGTGATCCACCCGCCTCGGCTTCCCAAAGTGCTGGGATTACAGATGTGAGCCACCACGCCCAGCTAGAGATTGGGTTTCTAAGGATACCCAGTGTAATGTGAAAAAGGTGGATGCTTATAATTTTAGAATAAGTTTGTACCGTGCTAAGGATTAAGGAATAGGAAACTGTGGTTCCCCTAGGCCTGCTTTTTTCACTATTCCTTGCCTTTCCTCTGCTCTGCCTTGAACCATGGATGGTTAGGAGGAGGGGACATCTGCAGGCTGCATCTCCCAGACCTCCTGTCATCTGGCTTTTAGATGAATTCAGCCAATGGCAGGCACTGACAAGAGAAAGGAAGGAGATGCCAGGGCTCTTTTCTCCCCTTTTAACTGGTTCAGATGGGTCTCCAGTAGCAAGTCTATCCCTCCATTGTACAGCTACCTTCTGTGCAAGACCACGGTTCTTTTTTTGTTTTTTGTTTTTTTAATGGAGATTTTTTTTTCTTTATTGAGAAACATAAGACTTGGGTACATCAAATAAAACCAATTTCTGGGGGAAAAAACCAAAACCCATAATAGAAAAAAAAAGTTAACACTGCGCCACAGCAGAACCCAGAGAATATATTCGTATCATTGAAAAATTCTAGGCGCTTCATAATTGACCTTTCAATACAAAATGACCTATTAAATTTGCAATTTGTAGTTCTTGGTGTTGAGGTCCATAGGACAAGCTAGGAAGTCTTCAAACCTTAAGCTGAATTCCATGAGGGGTTATTTGGCTTTTGAATCGATTTTTCCTTGTCTAAGAGGTAGCAGCAGCAACAGCGCCCACCTTCGGGGAAGCTTCTTTCTTGGCATCATGAGCCTGTAGAACTGCTACAGCTTCATCCACCTTGGAGTGGAGAGACTCGGGGGACTGTAACATATGCGGCAGCTCAGAGTTGTCGATCTCCAGCAGCATTCCCGTGATCTTCCCAGCCAGGTTTGAATGCATTGTTTGGATGAGTGGGAACAAGCGCTCTCCCAGCATCTGCTTCTGGTCCTTGAGGTGATGCTGCAGCCAGCATGGAGGCAGTCAGTGGCTCCTGCCCCTGCACATGGACCGCAGGCTGGGGTGCCTGCAGAGTCTGTATGGGAGGATGAGGGCTGCGGACACGGAAGGTGTATTTGAAGGGGTTAACAGCCTGGAGAGCAGCAGGCAACAGCTGCGCGCTGCGCTAAATTCTGCGCAGCTGTGGGAACGCCTCCAGCTTGGCAGCTGTCAGTCAGCCCTTGCTGGGCGGCACTAGCCCCACCAAAGTCCATAGCCAGGCAAGACCACAGTTCTTTAGGATGAACTCAGCGCCAGGGATATGGGAGCACCACATCATTCCTTCTCTACTGCAACCTCAGGATGGTGGCGACATCCTGATGTTACTAACTCCTGATTTGCCTCATCGCTCCCTGTTTGGTTTCCGAGATCCTTCACTACCACTGAAAGCTGAATCCAGTTCCCCCTGCTTTGAATGCTAGGAGTTACTTTTGTTTTCTTGGTCGTGGCCTAAATGATATATATGGTCAACAATAACAAATAAAGGAAAGAGTGCTGCTGGAATAATTGTTCTAATCTGCAAAATGAATGACTGCTGGAAAGATGATTTTTCGTTTTTGAAATTCAAAGATTCTATAAATGGCATTTTCTAAAGTGCTGTCTGAGGGTCATCTGCTTCAGAATTCCTAGAAAAGTTGATTTAAGATGCATGTTCCTGAACTCATCTTTAACCTGCTAACTCAGAATCTCTAGGGGATGGCAGGGGAATGTGCAATATCAATCTACTGCCTATAAGATTCTTTTTGAAAAATAAAGTTTGAAATAAAATGGTCTACCCTATTTGAGCTTCTTGGGAATGTTTGGAAGAGAAGTGACACAATGTGCTTTAAGGTATCCTGATGGATTTTCCATGTACTCTATTTCAAGAGATGTCACCTGTCAAAATCGATAAATTTAGATGAGTTTGGTTAATTTTTAAATGTCACATTGTATGAATCTTCCAAAAGTAAACTACGTCCTAAGCAGTAGTAAATACGTAGCACTTACCGCTAAGAAATTTCATAATCTACAAAATAGGGAATACATAAATATAAAACTATGTACAAGCCAGATGAGTTGGCACACCCCTATATTCCTAGCTACTGAGAAGGTTGAGGCGGGAGGATCACTCGAGCTCAGGAGTTCAAAGCCAGCCCGGGGCCGGGTGTGGTGGCTCATGCTTGCAATCCCAGCACTTTGGGAGGTGGAAGTGGGCAGATCACTTGAGCTCAGGAGTTTGAGACCAGTGGGGGCAACATGGAGAAACCTCGTCTCAATAAAAAATACACAAATCACCCAGGCACAGTGGTGGACGCCTGTAGTCCCAGCTACTCAAGAGGCTGAGGCAGGAAAATCGCTTGAGCCTGGGAGGTGGAGGCTGCAGTGAGCCATGATCATGAAACTGCACTCCAGCCTGGTAGACAGTGAGATGCTGTCTCAAAACAAAACAAAACAACAGCAACAACAACAACTCAGCCTGAGTGACATAGCAACACCTCGTCTCTATAAAAAACAAAACAAAACAAAACAAGAAACCAAAAAGAAAAAGAAAAAAAAAACTATTCACAGATCAAAATTCCATGGCATTCTTATTAAACTAGTGATTGCCAAACCTGTTTTATCATACCCTGAAAAAACTTATGTAAAAGGTAGTATTTTAAATACATTTCCAACCAAGTTTTAATACATTACTTAAAATATTCAATATCCAACACTTTGAAGAGAAACTAAATAGGTCGGGTGCTTCAGTGATAAAATATTTTCTTGGCCTAGGCTTCAGCAAAAAGCAAAGCTTGAGGCAAGCACTGAGTGCAAGTAGTTTTTGGTGGGTGGGTGGGTGGGTGAGGGCTGGGGGGAAGTGAACTCAAAGAGGAGAAGCGGGAAACTGGGAAAAGAGGAAGCCAGTCCATGAGCGCTATAGAGTTTATTGTGACTACGGGCAACTGAGGCTGGATCCCACTGGGAATACTTCAATGAGGCAAATAGCATAAGTGCACTTCAAAATCTCCCTCCAGTTACACAGAAGAGAGAACTTTCATCCCTCAGTTCTTTTCCTTTATTGGTCAGTGGTTGCCCCATGTCATGTTGACTAGTAACACTTCCAGGCATGCGTATAGGTTAGTCCCTGAATGGGACTTTGCAGTGATGGCAAAGTAATTCTAGTAAAACAAAAAAAGAAAGAAAGAGAGAAAAAACAGAAAAAGACACACGGTGGAGCTGAGACGAGCTGCTGATAGGATATACCTGCAAATATCTGGTTACAGTAATAACGGCTTCTATAAGAAAGTGAGCAAAAAAATGAAATACAGCCTAAGGGGAACCTGATACACCTTTTTGAAGATCTTTAATAATTATCAGAAATGACTCCAGGCAAAGGTGTGTGGGTTTTCTCAAATGCATGAATTATAAATATTTTATTTCTAGAAATGGTTTTTGTATTTTTAGCCTAGATTCTGTTTATGCCCCATCTCTTCTCCTCCTGGCCTGATGGGAAACATTTGTCCCTTTGTAGTTAACACGCAAAACTTGGAAAGCACCCATGAAATAAAAGCAGGTTAAAATAAATTTCCTACGACATAAAATTAACCATCATAGCTATGCCTTAGAATTGTTTATTTGGTGACTGAAAAGAGTCTTGTTGGACACTGAGCAGATTACGGAGTTGCCACCAAAAGAACTTCTAAGCATAGGTTGCTTTTAAATCATTCTGGTGATAATGTAAGCTATGACATGCTGGAAGCATTTGAAAAAGTTCACGATGTGTCTCCAGCTCTCTTCTCATAAGCACAGCGAGTCATTGTTTTCTTCTCTGGTTGGTCTCAAAATCCTCCATAGCTGTCTCTCCCCCAGCTCTCCTTCTGTGATTTTCACTGCTCCTTATCACGTAGTCTTCCATTTTGCCATTAATATTTTTACAGAAACACATTTTTTTAAATTTTCTATTCTTTCTGCCAGTGTAGATCCATTTTTATTGATCTATCTCCAACCTCAAATTCTTCCAGAAACTGTTTAGGCTGCCGGTGCTGGTTGGTACCTGGTTCTTATGTATTAGTAAGAGCATAAACCCTGGAGTTTGTCAATCCTTTGTTTGAATCTGGGCTCCACCACTTATAAACTGCATGAATCTGAAATGTGTCTTAACAATTTGAGCCTCCTGTTTTCTTCCGTGAAATGGAGATATTATTTCTCACGGGATTATTGTGAAACCCAAAGGAGGTAATAGATGAAAAAGAGTAAACTCTTTGTGTCTACATTGTGTCTGCAACATAGTAAACATTTGCTAAATGGTAATTAACATCATTATTCAGTGCTATCATCAATTTATGTTTTTCATCTGTATCCTTAGATGTTATCTTGAATTTAACAATAAATGTAAAGGCAGAATTACCGGTAACAATAATTGACATTAATCTTGTCTACCAGCTTTAAACTGATGCTCTTTGAACCACAGTGCTGATAACCAGGTGTGTAGAGATCTGTAAATAGAAACAAGTCTAATCAAATGTTATTTAAAAACAAACCTAGATGGCAGAAGCAATTCTTCAATGAAGCCTTCAAGCAACACCTCCAAACTTCTGACACATCTGGGAAGCAGTGCTGTAGAGCTGACCTACCTTGAATGAGACCTTTATATGTGAATAGTTTTTATTGACTTTCTCAGAGTCAGAAATAGCAATAGATTTTGTTGCTGTGCTTGCAATCATGTTTTTAAAAATGCAAGTTTAATATGTGAACAGTGAGGAAATGATTCTTGGTCTTACTTTGTGCTCTTCAGTCCCACCCAAAGTGCAGTCAACACCACACAGTAAAAGAACGATGTTTCACTCAAGTGGGTGGCTCAGACAGGCAACCTGAAAACCAAAAGAATAAGAAAAGAAAGTTGATTTTTGAAATCTAACTATTAACCACACTAGCATGTATGAATTAGCTTCTGGAGTGAAGCAGAAACTTTTCTGCAAATATGAGGACCAAGAGTTTGGGAACTCCTCAAACACTTATTAAGATATCTTGGCTGTGATATCAGGAAGGTAGGATAGGACTAGGATTGGAATGGGGTGAGTAAAAACCTACCCAATGGTCTTCGACTATTTGGAGAGACTCTATACACACGGAAAAGGCTGCTCAGCTTGAAACATGAGAAAAATAATTCAGGGAGCCAGAATTTCACAGCATTTATCTAAAGGCTGCCCAGGAGAAAAGCTCACTGGCTGTAATAAGCACAAGACTGTCATCATAAAGATGCTTTCTGCTGAGAAGCAGGGCTAACCTGATCTTCATGGGTACATGATAGCATCATGGAATTCTTCGGAGATGACTATTTGAAACGGGCCCTCAAGATTGCTTGCAGGCAGAGTTATGTTTAGATCTGAGGTCTGATTACCCCACATTAAGAAATGAGGTCTTGACGTTTTTGGTAGTAGTTTGTATAGCAATCTTACCTGAACACTGGCAGTCTACTTTTTTTTTTTCCCCGAGACAGAGTCTTACTCTGTCGCCAGGCTGGAGTGCAGTGGCACAATCTCAGCTCACTGCAACCTCTGCCTCCTGGGTTCAAGCAATTCTCCTGCCTCAGCCTCACAAGTAGCTGGAATTACAGGCATGTGCCACCATGCCCAGCTAATTTTTGTATTTTTAGTAGAGACAGCTGTTCAGTATGTTGGCCCGGCTGGTCTCAAATTCCTGGCTTCAGAAGATCCACCTGCCTCAGCCTTCCAAAGTTCTGGGATTATAGGCATGAGCCACCATGCCCTGCCAAAGGTGGCGGCCTTCTTGCCCAACCAATTTTGTCCTTTACATTACTGACCCAGGTGATTTGAAGAGGGAAGATAGCTATTGGCCTCATCTCTATCTCTCTGTCCCATCCCACCACCCCTTCTTACCCCCTCTCCCTCTCTTCCCCTGTTCACCACTAGGAGCATAATAAGCCTCCTCTTCCTGAATCAGGGTGACCTCTGTGTACTGTAAGGATGCAACTCCTTCAAGATTGGTTGGACTACCCAGGCTCTGATCACAGGCTTCCTTCACCAGTGAGCCAGCTTGCTAGTCCGTGATTCATGAGACATTTATTTAGAATTTGCTGTGTGCCAGGTAATGATAAAAAAAAAAAAAAAAAAAAAAAGGAATAAACTTGATCTTCCTCTTTGGTAATATGCAATTTATCTTTCAGAGTTTTTGAAGGCTGATTCTCTAACTGCAGGTCAACCCTCCTTCAAGACTCTTGACTCCCTAGTTTTCCTTCATGACTCACTGCTCAGGAGACTGCCCTTTTATTGATAATTCTGCTCCACTTCTGCTTTCAACCTGCATATTCTTCATGAGGAATCTACTTGATCCTTGATCCTATACCCACCACTTCTCCACTGGGTAACCCTTTTCTTAGGTTCATCCGTTTCCATTAGCAGCCACATTCCTCCAGACACTGCCATCGCTATGACACTAATTTGGCTTGCCTTCTGGCAACTGAAGTATGATGCCTCTTAATACAATCTTCCTATCTACTCCCTGAGGAGTGCCTGGGCACACCTGGTGTTCTGGGCTCCTGGCTGCAGAGTCATATTAGTGGACAACATTTCACTTTCTGATGCCACTGCAGGTGGTGATGATGGTACCAGCATGCACACTTGTCATCATTATCACATTCAGTCCCACAACAGTAACAACAGAAAGGAGGTGAGGATATCATCCACACGTTAGCAACCAGAAGACTTAGCTCCCCAAAGTAAAGTCGTTTGCCCTGTGTCACCAAGTGGAAAGTGGCAGGGATAGCTTTATCTGTTCCTGAAACCCAGGCTGTTTCTCAGGAATATCTCCTCTATGCTATATTGCTTCCCTTGCAACTCCATTCCAGAGTCTCCTGATCCCTAAAATCCAGAAATATGTCTCCAAGCAAAGCTAAATCAGTGCAGTATCAGAGAAAACGGCAAAAGTTAGTCACTGTCTGTGAAAACTCTTTCTAAACTCAAATACCATTTATGAATTCCTCTCTCTCTTCTAAAATAGATAATTCACATTTACTTAGCATTTTTGCTATTTGTTGATCATCCTGGGGAAATAGCACCCTATTATTTGGGCCATCTTATCCAGCTGAACATTCTGATGCATTACTAATTCCAAAACAATTTCCTGCGCCTGCAATGTCCACAGTGATAGCCACTAACCACATATGGCTCTTGGGTACTTGAAGTGTGGCTAGTCTGAATTGTGATGTGGTGTAAGTGTGAAATATATACTGGAATATAAAATCTTTGTGTAAAAAATAAATGCAGTATCTCTTGAATAATTTTTTTACTGAGTACACGTAAAAAATACTATCATGTAGAAATGATAATATTTTGTATCTACTGGGTTAATTATGTTATTAAAATGCAATCACTTTTGTGCTGGAATCACTTTTGTAATGTGGCTAGTAGCAAATTGTAAATTACATATATGGCTCACCTTATGTTTCTGATGGACAGCGCTGGCCACTATAATCATAGCACTATCAGTTCAATCCATCAGCTTTGAGGTGAATTGTTCTACCTAGAGTGTATAATATTCTATTCTGTGAGATGGGCAAATGCTATCCATGTTTATTTCTGGAATTTATTTCTAGCATTGGATCTTCATGAAATTATGTCCTTTGAGAATGGTATGCAGTTCTGTGGTGGGGGACGCCCAGGCAAATCTGTAAAGGTCAGTCTTATGGTTCAGCATTGGGACTTGCTTACAACAGCACATTGTCTAAGCCAGACTTGGACTTTCTTATGTGCTTGCATTTGTAGCAGCAATTATGGTTTCCAGGGTCAGACACTTTCAGGCAGTTAATAACCAGTTTGACTAAAGGTCCATCAGCTTCCTAGCCATTCATTAAATCGTAAGAAATGCCTTACCCTAAGGTCAATACTGCTTAGCTCAGTCATACTTTATGATTGAAAGAATGCTTTCCTCTTCCATTGTCGATAGTATTGATTGGCAGTTCTTTGGGTGGCCTGGTCATTTTTATTTGTCCCCCTTTGTTTTCAACTGTTAAGGAGATGACATCATCTTTTCTCCGACAATATGGAATTATTGCAATGCTGAAAGCTGAGTACAAGGAGGTCCACTGTCAAACTTTGGACCTCACCTCTTCATTATTATTGCAGAGTGACTCACAGGGGAAAGGAAATTCAGAGGAACAAGGGGGCCCATGCCATAAACTCTACAAATCACCAGGCTGATAAACCACCATCTTTACCACCAGTCACAATGCTCCCATTAGACTCAAACAGAAGAGTAGGTATGACTAATTCTTCCCTTTGCCCGCCAAAAATAAATCACAGCACTGAGCTGGAATGAGACACAGACTTTTCCAGGATGAAGAGTTGAGTTGGAGGCTGAGACATAGGAAACATTTTGAAAAGGAGCCAGGCAGCTCGAGCAGAGGATTGCTGAACACGCTCCCCAGACCAGATCCTTCCATGAAAGCTGGGTTGTTAGAAGCAGCTGCCGGGACTTGCAGGATATGGTGGCAGGTACAGCATTTACTAGACATGAAATATGTATTGTCCTTGTCAAAAAGTTATTCCTTAATCCATTTACAGAAACCTCTGTCCGCCAAAGACTTTTACAAATCGTTCATGTTCAGGGATCATTCCATTTCTTCCCAAAAGCCATATGTTTAAAATTCACAACAGCTTATATACAAATCTTTTGTTTGCATCTGATTCGCTGATGTTCAACTGCATGACGCAAGACAAGCAGTGCCCAGGATGTAAAAGGTAACAGAAAGAACCTGAGTACTGGGATCAGGCAGATTGAACTATATTATTTTATTTTTAATTTTGGATTTCTCATCTGTAAAATGGGAGCATTTATATGATTTGGTAGAATAAAATGTATAAAAGATCTATTACAGTGCTAGTACCAGGTAACTATCATCGTAATGATTGGGGTTAGTCCACAGAATGAAATGGCTGAAGTTTTTCATTACTTTTGGTAAGAATCAGTACATTTATCAAGCCGAACGATGACTTACACTGTTCTAGGAGTTACCTCCAAATGATGCTTGGTTATTTGGAAACACCAAAAAATGAATTTCTTTTGTGATTAAAATTATTATTATACTTATCTAATCCTGACATTTTGGAATAATGTGGTATAATTTAGCATCAAAGATCTAATTTAGAAAAGTCTTTAGGAGAATGATGAAGATTTAATTCATGTAAAACTTCTTGGTGTTCACTCAGCTTATGCTTCAGTTTCATAATATACAGCCTATCACTGAGGGATGGACATCTGTCCTTTATACAGGTTGGAGAAGACAGAAATGAAAACAATATGTTCCGGAGTGACAGCTCCTTGCATATAAATCCTAGTTCTATTCCTTAACTATTGCATGACCTGTGTTAAGCACCTCTCTGTACATGGGATCCCTCACATATAAAAGAGAGTAATGGTCTCAAAGAGATACTTGCACACCCATGTTCACAGCAGCATTATTCACAATAGCCTAAAGAGGGAAGCAACCCAAATATCTATGGAGAAATGATCGGATAGACAAAATATATTATGAAATATTATTCTGCCTTAAAAGAAGAAAATTCTGACATATGCTACAACATTGATGAACCTGGAGAATATTATGCTAAGTGAAATAAACCAGTTACAAAAGGACTGATACTTGATGATCCCTCCTACATGAGGTATCTAGAGTAATCAAATTCATTGAGATGACCAAGCACAGTGGCTCACACCTGTAATCCCAACACTTTGGGAGACCAAGGTGGGCGGATCATGAGGTTAGGAGTTTGAGACCAGCCTGGCCAATATGGTGAAACCCCATCTCTACTAAAAATACAAAAATTAGCCAGGCGTAGTGGCGCACATCTGTAATCCACCCACTCAGGAGGCTGAGGCAGGAGAATCCCTTGAACCCAGAGGTGAAGGTTGCAGTGAGTCAAGATTGCGCCGCTGCGCTCCAGCCTGGGCGACAGAGCGAGACGCTGTCAAAAACAATAATAAATAAAAATTCATAGAGACAGAAAGTAGAATGGTGGTTGCCATGATCTGGTGGGAGGGAAGAGTGGGAAGTTGTTTAGTGGGTACACAGTATCAATTTTGCAAGACAAAAAGAGTTCTGGAGATAGTTGGAGGTGATGTTTGTACAACCATGTGATCGTACTTAATGCCACTGAACTGCACACCTAAGAATAGCTAAGATGGTAAATTTTATGTTATGTTTACTTTACCACAACTGTAAAAATTAAAATAAAAAGCTAAATAACAATATTAATTTCTTTACTTTTTTGTTGTTGTGTTGATTTAATGGACTAGTGTCTTCCATAATTTAGCCCAGTGCTGGGCACATACATACAAGCCCAATAAATTGTAGGTATCAAAAAATACAAAAATAAAAACAAAACACCAAAAACTAGCAATGGATATTTTTTGGATTCACAACTCTTGGCTCTGAGCTAAGACTGTTAAGGCTGAAAACAAGCTTCAAGTTTTCCCCAAACCTGGAGTGAGACAGCAGTTCGGGGCAAGCCATGGTGAAGCCCTTAGCAAGACAGCACTCCATCTGAGCCAAGGTGAGTGTGTGTTTCTTACAGTTCAGACAGAATGCAAAATAGCAAGTGGTGACAAAGAGGACAAGCGAGGTGCCTCAGGACATGCCTGAGGGGAAAGGTCAGAAGGAAGTCCTCTGGATGGTGTCCCACTGTGGCGGGAGGTCGTTGGCTGTGCCTGAAGTCCAGTCTTCAGAACACAGCCCTTGACACTCAACCAGGCAGTAAATTTCCCTCATTATAAATGCCCTTCACAGTCCTTCACTCACTTGGATATGTCTTTTCCCTGAAGCTAACAAGCTTGGCAAACTTGCTCTTTTTAATAAAGCATGGTGCCACTAGGAATATTTAAAAAAAAAAAAGAATGTTTCCTAAGCAGCTGAGATGGTTGAGGACCCGTCAGGTTTGCAGGGGCCATCTCATACCAGGATATGCCCAAGCCCAGTTGAGGCTACCTAAGGTCGGGCAGCAGGAATCTTTCTCAAAGGGCTGGGTTAATTTGCTCTTTGAGCTCACTTGCACCATCCCTGCAAATCTGGCCACGCTTCTTCCTACTGATCTAAAATATTCCAGTTTTTAATTAGTTCCAGGCCAGTTAATGCGACTGCCCCATCTGCACAATGCATTTGTGCCAATTCAAAGTCTGAAGCCGATGAACTAATATAGCCAACTGAAGACCTGTTGAAGGAAGCAAATGGAGCCGTGCTGCTGCTGGAAAATTTGCCTGGAGTGCCTGCCAGCCCCCGGGTCCCTTTCCAAGCCAGGCCTGAACCACAGGCCTGTTATGAAAGGACTGCTGAATTCAGCCCTTACCTCTCCAGAAACCAAAGGGTAATTAAAGCATGGGATGCAAATTCCCCACAATATGGGGGATGTGTCCTATGATCTATAACGTTGTT